ACATGCGCCCGGTGTGAGTTTAAGCCACCGGGTCTGGGACGCGAACCGCGGTCGACTACGTGGGAGTCCAGCGACATAGCCATTACGCTAACTGCTGGTCCCCCTGGCATGAGTTTTAAACTGAGACCTAGGACTCGAACCAAGGTCGACTACATGGGAGTCCAGCAATGTAACCATTATGCCATCTGCTGGTCCCAATTATTATTATTATTTTAAAATTTGACGAGAGAGAAACACAGAGGGAGAAAGGTGAGAAAGCTAGACACCAGGTCCAAGACTCGAACCACAATCAACCATGTGGGAGTCCAGCACCTTAACCACCATGCCACCTGCCAACCTCAAGTTGGGGCTTAAACAAGTCCCTTGACCAGAGGACTTGTCAGTACCTTTACTGTGGGAGCGGCAGGGCAAGCAGCAGCCCACCCCATAAGCAATCCTGTCTCTCCTTCTGGAGGATTTATTCTGTAGAATAAAGTTTGGTCAATGAGGCCGACTGGTGAGAACTTTTAAATGAGCCCACATTTTCCACCCTGAGTGAAAGAAAGGGTCTCATTGAACCTGACACCATGTATGACCTAGAGAGTTAACAGCAGCAACAGCAGATGACATAATGGCTTTGTCGCTGGACTCCCATGTAGTTGATCGAGGCTCGAGTCCCGGACCCGGTGGCTTAAACTCACGCTGGGCGTGTGTGCGTGCGTGCCTAAGATCCCGAGAGGAGAATGGAGGAGAAGGGATTGCGGCGTGGCCATCCCCCCTGGGGGGTGATTTCTCACTTTCTGTCTCTGTCTCTCCAGTGAGCACATGCGCCCTATAGCAAAAATCTCTCTTTAAAAAAAAAAAAAAAATCATCACTCTCCAGTTACGATTTTACTGGGGCCACCAAGGAACTGCGCCCTCCTCTTTGAGCACGAGGTCCTTGCTATGGGGCAGGGCTGCCCGCCCAACCCTGGGACCAGCCTGGGTGCCAGCTGAACCCGCCCCTTCTCCAAGAGAACTCATTTGTTTCCTGCATCCTTAACGGGAGCTGGGGTGGCTGCCCGTGTGACAGAGAATGGTGGCCATTGCCCTTCCCATCTTGCGTCGATGCCAATTATGTAATTTGGTGGCCTGGCACTACCCAGGCGAGGCATAGGAGAGGGTTACAAAGTGTGTTTTTATGACCCCTATAAAACCAAGCCCCGAGCAGGAAGGAACGGGGGTTGATATGGGGGCAGACACGGGGGTAGGAGAATGCAAGAGAGGCGTCCTGGCTCTTCGGGGTTGGGGTTGGCACTCCTTGTACGGGCCACAGTGGGGCGACACCCCGAACTGCTCCTCAGGGAACTAGAAATCCTGGTGACAGGAATGACGCTTCTGGGGCGTCTGGGGAGGAGCAGCAACGTGGCCAGACACGGGCAGGCTGTGTCCCCGCCCAGCCCCTCTCTGTCTGTCACCCTGTCCTCTCTCCCACCGAAAGCCAAAAGCCGGTTTTACTTTCCCCCTTCAGGGATATTTGCAATTTCTTTCTTTATCTTTCTCTTAGTTTTCTTTCTCTTTCTTTCTTTTTCCTTTTCTTTCTTTCTTTCTTTCTTTCTTTCTTTCTTTCTTTCTTTCTTTCTTTCTTTCTTTCTTTCTTTCTTTCTTTCTTTCTTTCTTT